TGGATTTTTGTTCAATAAAAGCTTTCAAATGCGACTGTAGCTTTTTCTTCCCCAAAACTTTGTCTTCAAAATAAGGGTGCTTTTATAATTCCGAAAAATACAGTATACATAAGAACAAGTGAGGCCAATACTCATCAACAGAATGTTTTTTTGCATCTCTATGGTTTCTTATGTTCCTACATAATATTCTTAACACTTTGTGAGACCGATATATCTTTATTACAAGTTACAGCTTTTACAGTAAAAAAAAATATTATTTCTTAGAATAGGTACGACGTTTCGACAACTGGTGCGATCATTGTCAAGTACACAAGTATTAACTGTTACAACTTGTGTACTTTAAAATGATCGTACCAGTGATCGAAACATCGTACCTGTTCAAAAAATAGAATCTTCCTTACTGTAAAAGCTGTAACTTGTAAAAAAATAATACTTAATCAGTAAGTAAACTCAAAACGAGACTACTGTATTTATGTTCCTACATTATAATTTTAACACCTTGTATGCTTCCCTATAGCACAGCAGCAGGTCTGTGAACGTATAACGCTAAAAACTGGGTTTCGATACCCGTGGTAGGCACAACACAAGTAGCCCATTGTGTAGCTTTGTGCTATCTACAAACAAATTTAACACCCGGTGAGGCCTATACATAATCAACAGTTTTTCTTCGTACTATAGTGTGACCCCTTGGAGATTTGCAACTTGTATTTGATATCTTACTTTAAATGTACAAATTCTTTACATATATATTTACATATTTGCAGTTTATAGTGCAACAAAATTTGCATTTATTTGTATAGGTTAAAACTAAATAGCTATTGCCTGTATTTGCAAGTTTAAATTTTAAGTCTTTACGATGGTACTTTTTACTTGATTCCTGTTTATGGGCTGTTGCCTGATTGTTCACAAAGTGATTTATCTAACAGTTTAAAATGATTATCTTCTTATCACAAAACAAGGTTATGATCTATATGGTGGATTTGCATTCTCGTGTGAATTACTTCACTGTTCCTGAAAGCTGTTTCATTTTGTAATCACATGTCGCTAAACTAGCAACGTATTTATGAAGATAAACTAGAGATGGCGTTGAATCGATCAAGTAGACGTGTAAAAATAGTTTGTCTTCAATTTTTCCTTCCTTGGAAATCCCATAATTTGCTGAATTATCTCCAAGAGCGGGGCACCGTTGATTATAGGTTTTCTTTAGACCGTATTGCTGAATTAAAGAAATGTGTATCAGAATTAGGCATATTCCTGCAGAAAGCGTAACGTGAGTGGAATAAATTATCGTGCCAACAAAGGTCGTCTGTTGATGGATTTTTTTTAAGTTGATAAAGGAGTTAAAATGTTCTATAAATAAGTTTTATACTATAAGAAAATGTATGATTTTTGTTGCGTCATCAACATAACTGGAATCGGGAAAAAAATATTAAGTTTAAAAAATAGTTCAGTTACTTTGGGTAGCCTAAAAGTGAATGGTAGCGAAGTTTCTGTAGTGATATCAACAGGACTTGTTCTTTCTGAAGATCGGCAGAGCTATAATGATTTAATAGAAGATCTATGTGGGCACAGCTTTTTGGTGATGGTCTTTGAACGGTAAGTAGGGCAGGATCTCCGGGTTGAGATTGCTCTTGAGGCCAGTCTCTTCACCCGTGACGTAACAATGGCGACGGGCTGAGAATGGTGACTGAATGCAGTTGCAGGACTGGTGTTCTGAAAATTTCATATCCTAGCGGTTTATTTCGTTGAACTGTGAAATTATTTCATGGTCCAAACAAAAGTCATGACCGTTTCCGGCTTCCTTTTCTTTCAGGCGGGTAATATAACAGCTTTATACTCTTTTTCAGGCTTTTATGTAACGTTTGTTAACCTTTTAAACTAAAGGGTTAATAAAAATGTAATTTATGCTTTAAGCGGTGAAGACTAATAATGTCAAGTTAACACTTGCCGTGTACTCGCGGTATAGGTTATACATTTTTGAATAAATTATTTCGGTTTAATTATGTAAATATGTAGAAATCTACATAATTAAAGTAAAACTATTCACAAAGTTTAGTTTTCAGTGGATGCTCATTACAAAGAACAATCAAAACAAAACTGACTGGCGAAAATATTGACCAGTTTCGTTACATCTCTCTTTATTGTTTGTTTTTTCAAGCATAAGAAATATGCTTGTACAACTATGAAGAATAAACTATTTTGTTACATTTAGTGGGTGTGCAAACCTGAATATTAACTCTTAGCTCTTATGTGATGAACAAAGAACAATGGACGAATATATAAGAACGTGAACAATTCCACCCAATATGTCTGTCTAGATTAGATTTAGTCCCCTTCCACACAAAAAAGTCTGTATAGGTGGTATACCTAAGTAGAAAAACTGTTTATAAAGTCTATAGAGCAGTAAATTGAACTTTGTATTGATATTTTATTTTCGCTGATAGAATAATAAATCGAGGGTTGTATTGATATTTCATTTTCTCTGGTATAACGAGAAATCGAGGGTTGTATTGATATTGTATTTTCTCTGGTATAACAATAAATCGAGGGCTGTATTGATATTTTATTTTCTCAGGTATAACAATGAATCGAGGGTTGTATTGATATTTCATTTTCTCAGGTATAACAATGAATCGAGGGTTGTATTGATATTTCATTTTATCTGGTATAACAATAAATCGAGGGTTGTATTGATATTGTATTTTCTCTGGTATAACAATAAATCGAGGGTTGTATTGATATTGTATTTTCTCTGGTATAACAATAAATCGAGGGTTGTATTGATATTTTATTTTCGCTGATAGTACAATAAATCGAGGGTTGTATTGATATTTTATTTTCGCTGGTATAACAATAATTCGAGGGTTGTATTGATATTTTATTTTCGCTGGTATAACAATAAGTCGAGGGATGTATTGATATTGTATTTTAAAAAGAAGTTATAATACTAAATAGAATGAAAATAGAAGCTTACATCGAAATTCAGCTAAAAAGAAAGAAAATTCTTACGATGTTGCGTCATGTAACAATACTTAACACGTATTTCTCTGACGCCTGAAGTTCAGATTTAATTTCGTGGCGAGTTAGGTTTCTTTACATCTCGTATTCAACACTCCAGTAGGCAGGCTGCACACATCACCTCCATCTTGTGAGAAGATACAATATGAATTATTTTCAAGTGTTTTATCCTACTGCGAAGTATGCCATAACGACAACCGGAAATTTATCGAGAGGACTGATGCCAGAAACTTTGAATAGGAGCTTGAAGAATGTGTCGTATTTCATAGATATTGCAACATAGAAACAGTATAGAGCAAGTTACTATAGAAACCTGATTTGTTACATAATAAGCTTGTTGCTCACTAGGTGTTAGTTTTTTTTTTTATGAACTATTGTGTACATATTAGGCAACTACTGTAATACATAGAACACGATAGTATAGAGATCAGTTATATCCTAAGTAATATTTACAGGAGTAGAACGAATTAGGGCAGATTATATACGAACGCATAATTTGAAGACCGTGTCTTTATTTAACTCCATATAAATATATTTCTGTATCGTGATATCTAATAGCGGTTTTAATTAGTGAATATGGAGAAGTTTAACGAATTTCTTTATCAGCTGTTAATTTCATGCACTCTGACTTGTCGCTGGACAGGCTGTTGAGAATCCCTAGTAAACCGTAAATGCACGTTACGGCTTGACTTCCACGCCAAATCCGGTTCTTAAACCTGTTAGAGTTAGGAAATCGCATGACCACAGCTTGTCATCGTTTGTATCTGGGTCGTTATAGTCTTGATGGTGAGGGCAGAGGTCAAATATAAGTCAGTTTAGGCTCAAAACGCGGGCTGTTCAGTAAAATGAGGGATCACTATTTGATGACGTTGCTGTTCAACAATACGACCAGTGCATGCGGGAGAGGTGCCCTATTTCATTGTCCAAGTTCCGTTTCAGTTTCTGAAATACATTGAGTGGAATTCCCCAAGTTTCACTTTCAAGAGTTAAGAACCACGGTTAAATTAGGTAGTCACGGAGATTTTAAGAGTAAGTGACTCGAGACGAATCCTGTAAATTTTCTTCAATCTTCATTTTGAGAAACATTTTTAGATATGTGGACATTGTTTGGAAATGTAATCAGTCTAATTGGATCTGATGTGTTTTGTTTTCATTCTTCTCGTAATTTGAATCTTGTAAAGTTTTACTCAATATTTAAAGTGTGTTATAATCAAGATTCCTTACAACAAACAAATCTGAATTTTTTTCAAAGACCTTGCACATAAATGTGCGTATCGTACTTATCTTAAAATAATAATATATAGTTACTAATTTAATATAATGTGGACTACAAATTATAAGTTGTTGGAATATACCGTGATTGAAAGTTTGTTTGTTTTTAGGAATCACTGGAAGATTTGTCAATGTAAACCAGAAGAATTGTGTAAGACTGAAAATTGAAAACTTATTTGTTGTGCGGTGTGGTGAGAGCCGAAGTATCTTGGTTTGAGAGTAGTGTTGTTGTACGCTCTCTGGAACAATGAATCTATTGACTATTTTGTGCCTGTGTTTGTTTTACTCGTCAGTACAGACAGAAAGAAACAGAGAAGAAGCGGGAACAGGTAACCGTCAGTTTTATTATTTATTTAAAGTAAGAATATGATGATTATCTGTTGCCATGTTTGAAAAAACATTCCCTCATTTTTTTAATATTGCAGCGTAGCTTCATTTGTAAAATGATTATTAAAATATGATTTATTTATTAAATGGTGAACGTTTTGAAGGAGGTGGAGGACGTTCTTCGAACTATGTTTGTGTTTTCTTACCGCAAATCCACACCGGGCTATCCGCTGCGTTCATCCAGGGGGAGTATTCGAAGTAAGGCATCATCTTAGAAAATAGTTGTTGTTTTGTTGCGATTTATGGGGGCGCCATCAGCAAATGATATGTCTAGAAAATAGTAATCGAGGGCCTTTCATTTATATGATAAGCCGCCCTCTTAAACAATGAGCGACGTACGTAAAAAACTGTCTTGGACAATACATGAACGTGGAATATATACATCATTCTATATTGTTAAGTGTCAGAAAGTGAGAACTATAATTCGGATTTTTGTAAAACGTAATTCATCGCTGGATAAAACCTTTTCTTTCTTTCTTTTTCCCGAACGTCCCTTGTGACGTAACACTCGGGCTTACGACATAAGGCTCACGGGCATGTTTCCTCTCCGGACTTGTTGCGCGTGACAGAGAATCTTTGTCCAACGTTCTTATTTTGTTGCTATCATGATACACATCTTTGATAGTTGGATTGAGATCTTTAATGGACGGCAGCTGTTAGTACTGAAAAAAAAAAGTAAAAAAGCCGAAACGTCGTCTCCTTTTCTTCAACAGGCAGCTGCAGTTCCCATGCCTACTATGTCTGCTATGCATAATGTTCCACTGAAACAACATCTCTAGTTGCAGAAGTAATGGTTACCTGTGGGTGTTATGGATGTTTCTTATTATATTTCATAGTTGGAGAGAAATAGTTTTCAAGTCGTGATCAAAGTGTTTGGAATAAGATAGATAATCGTGAAAAATGTGTATTAAAACAAGGGTTTATGTAGACGGTGATTAGGGCACTCGACTCGCAATCTGCTGGTCACGGGTTCGAGTCTCGTCCCTGAACATGCTCGTCCTTTCAGCTATGGGACGTTCTTTTGTGACGGTCGATCCTAATTTTCGTTGGTAAAGAGTAGTCCTAGAGCTGGCGGTGGGTGGTGTTGACTAGCTACCTTCCCTTAAATCTGTCACTTTTAAATTAGAGACCGATAGCGCAGATGAGCAGTTTTGCGCGAAATTAAACAAATACATAATGTAGACGTAAACTATTGCAGTATATTCTGATAATATATAAACTTAGTATTCCGAAAATTGTTTAATCTCGAAGTCTGATGTCCAGTTCAATCTACACTTTGATCAACGTGAGCGTGCGGCTATATAATGTGAAGAACTTAATAGTGGCAAAAGACACTTTCTTTTCACCGCACCTATCCAGTGTGTAGGTTTTTCTCATAGTGACTATAAAGCACATTCACACAAACATTGTGTTTGAATTTTCTGACAAATGAACGTTAAATGTTATTTTTATGTAATATTCTGAGCACCAATCGCGTAATTAAACATATTACTATGGAAACTTTTAAATGCTTATATAGGTTGGAGTTTTTTAATACGTCAGCAAACACACTATATTTTTCTAACAATTATTGATCGAAAATGGCAAATTTGAACATTTTCAGTCTTGTATTCCCTGATAGAGGGCGCTAGCAGCAGTCATACGGGAAAATACTGGTAAGAATGTAATTAATGATTATTCGAATTAATATTTATTGTATATTATGGTTTGTTTATGTCTATACATGTGTGTGTGTTCTTTATTTTATTTGTTTAACTTTAAAGTCGAATTTCACCGTTTATGTTACTTGACAACTGAAATTTTTTATGATCGGCTACTTGTTGTGTTTATAATTATGCCCTTTAGTGATAGCTTCTTCAGTAGAATATATCCAGTTCTCAATCTTCTCTTTTAATTAAGCATTTATATATTACTTCCAACATCATTTCTGTGAATTATTAATTTATTACAAAAAACAATTTCTGTTATGAAAGCATTGTCTTTTAGCGTGCCGGGCTGCGGATCGAAAAATCCTAGGTTCTAGCTGCAGTATGGCACTTAACTGCAACAGTCAGTCTCAGCAAACAATAGGTGAAGGGTGCTGTTGACTGGTTGCATTTTCTTTGGTCAGCAGTTTAAAAGTTCTTCATCTAAATACTGTTTGTTTGTAATGTTTTACGTACTCTACACCGCCCTAATGACTCGGTGGAGGGGAAGGTATTCGTTATGCTTCAGTGTCTGTTATTATATTTTGTTAAAAACAATTCACGTTTTGTAGGATACAATTTTTAAAATGTATTATTTAAAACAATAAGTGCCAGGAATGGGCGCCACCATCCGGCTTTGTTCAGATAGGTTTATTATAGCATTTCCTGTGATATCGTTAGTTACACTAGAATTGTACTTAAAATAAATACAGGATATTCGCTCACCTGTACTGTTTTATGTTTGTAGGAAAGCATGGTTTGTAATCAGAGAAGCGAACTAGATACGCACTGAATCGTAGTAGCTTTCACAGATACAGTACAGAGGTGTCATGAGCAAGGGTGTGTGTGTTAATCAATCACCCGCCATTCTTCACTCTCAGTTATATATATGAAGATCTTATCTCTAGTGCTATAAATGCCCTATGTTTACAAATTCGTGCTCTGAACTTTGGGACTGTGTTTGCGTTATAAAAATGACAGTCAAATCCCAAGCTCCCACTCCCAGTGGTTCAGTGGATAATTTAAAAACTTTAACGCTAAAATTCGGGTTTCGATACCCAGTTTGCCCATTGTGTAACTGTATTTGACAACAACAGCAACAACAAATCCTACTGTGTTTAACAAATCCTAAGAGTTGGCGGTGGGAAGTGTTAATCAGCTACCTTTAGCGTATTTTCTAATCAAACAAACTCGACTGTTATTAACGTTTATATCTTAAGAGTTGTTATAAAAAGCACGTTTTCCAAGTGTGAAATAAATAGATCATGTACAATATATAAATATGATGTACAATAAATCGTTTCCATGGGAGAGTCAGTGTCATGTTTTCTTTAATGTACCATTATAGAAGTGAGAGGATTCTCAATTTTATGTAAGAATATTTTAAACTCTCTACATCATACTAAGACAAACTTGAAAGTGTACTTATTTATGTGTGTGTGTTTATACCTGCAGTGTAACTTGTGTGTGTTTATACCTGCAGTGTAACCTGTGTGTGTGTGTGTGTTAT